GGGGGGGGGGGGGGGGGGGGGGGGGCAAACAAGACCCCCCCGTTTCGCACTTTACTTTTCTTGCTGTAGCTTCAGCTGCCAGCTTCGACCTTGGAAGCTCCGTTATCTTTCGGCTGAAATTCTTCCACAGCGGTTTCTGTCCAAGCAGTTCATCTTTTAAACTTTTTTTTCTTCACTCTCTTACAAGAAAGAAGGGAGGACTTCAGTGCTACACCTGCTCCCCCCACCCCGGCCCAAGCCGGGGGAGGAGGGAGTCTGGCCCTGCTCGGGCCCGCTACTCCTCTCCCCTACATGGCTGCTGCCCCTAATTTCAACTGTGCAAACAAACCTTCTCTTCCGTTTTCTTAAAGATGTAATTAGCAAAGGCGTCACTGGACTTTTGATTGGCCTTTTTGTCCGGAAATTACCTGGACAAAACCATCCTCAGCCCCAGGGATGGGCTGGTGGGCAAAACCACGACAGGAAGGAACAATGAAAACTACTTGTACAAAACACAAGGGGAAACATGGACAAATTGGGGTGCGGGAGACTCTCCAGATGTCAGCACTTCAGATACTATCACCAGGAATTCCAAGCATGGAAACACTGGTGATTGACCTCTACATTAATAAGTGTTTAACCAAGTCCAGGCATTTGTTTCAACTTCCTTTTCCATCCAGCTGCTTTCTTCAGGGCAGAGGTGATTCTTCGGGAAAATTTAAGTTCAGCAGAGATTCTGAAGAATTTGTCCATTCTTGAAACTAATCAAAAAGAGACACAAATCAAGGATTGCTAGTATTTAACTGCTTCCACCACCTTTATTGTTAATGTCTGCTCTCTAGCAGATGCATAAGATGATAGCAATATGCTACATGTATAAAACCCAACCTGGGAACTTCAGTAAGAAAGTAAATGAAAGCAGAAATACATGTATCAAACAAAACACAAATTTGATGGTTCTGTCAAAAACTTGGGAATTGTTTTTTCCTTCTGACAGTCTGCTCAATGTGTTGTATATCTTTGTAATGTGTTTCCACTGGGAGTTTGTCCTTGGAAAGGAAATAATATACAATATGCTATGGTGTGAATGGTCAAACTATTAAATATATCAACTTATCTTTCTGTGAGAAAGTACTTCATGTGGAAAACATCATTAATGTTTAAAAAAAATATATTTTTACCTGTGTCATTTTGATATATATAGCTACACTGTAATGTACCTGTTCAAAATTCTTTGGGGGGAAAAAACAACAGAAAACCCCAAAATACTGAATCAAGAGCATTACAGTGCTTTTGCTTATAAAGGACATCACCTTTTTAAATAAAGCAATACCCTGAAGTAGGAAGGAGAAAAAGACAATCCACCCAGACCTTTTCGTTTCTACAGATCTCAAGTGGAAATTGTTTCATAATCACCTTTCTTTAGATTTAGACATATTACTCCCAGTGATTAATCCCCTGTAAGAATGCTTATTTTTTAGAAATGTTTAGACAAATTGTTTTGGTAGGGGAAGGTAAAATTTTTTGCAGTATTTAACATGAATGCAGTTTGTTACTGAGTAAGCAGTGGTTTTTCCCTTTATTCTGACTTACTTGCCTACATTTTTATTGTTTTAACTATAGGCACCTGGTTTAATATTTATATTAAACTTCAATGTATCTGGTAAGAAATGACAAAGAAGTGGTAGGAAATCTGTTCTCCCTAGATACATTTGCAAAGCTATGCATATAATTTCTATGCAGTGAGAAAGGATAAAATAATTTGTCTGCTGTTTTTTTGGTAAATATAGAAGGTTAACTGGTTTTGATGTCATCAATTATGGTCAAGTTACGTAGCTCACAAAACAATATCTTTGTTTGTGTATTACAGGTAGCATAGTGTACCTTGGGATGATGATGGGGGCATTCTTCTGGGGAGGCTTGGCAGACAAGGTGGGAAGGAGACAGTCACTCCTGATATGCATGTCTGTCAATGGATTCTTTGCCTTCCTTTCATCATTTGTCCAGGGCTATGGCTTCTTCCTCTTCTGTCGCTTGTTTTCTGGATTTGGGTAAGCTTGTCTGGTTTTGTTCATTTCCACAATTTCATGTGTTAATAAAACTTTCCTGTTTGCAAAAGTACATTACTTAATACAGCCTGTGTCAGGGGTAAGAGAATTAAACAATATTGCTACTGCACTCCTAAATAACAACTGGAAGGGGAAAAATAATGATTTTAGGGGAAAGACACAGAATAAAAATTATGAGATTGTTTGTTCTGTTTTTGCAAAGGATTTGCTTTTTGAACTTGATCAACTTGCTTAACCCTTTTATGCCTCAGCTTCTCTATGTACAGTATCTTTTTCAGGCAGCAAAATAATACCCTCCTGACAGCTATACTCTAAGATTTTAGTAATATTCATACAGTTTCTAATGTGTTTTTGTGCATAATATTTTCTATAATGCCACTGCAGTCAAGAATGTAAAATTTAAAATGGGGTTCTAGGTTGTGCCAGATGTTACTGTTCTCTTCAGAAGAATGATATTTGTGGCCCTGAGTTTTCTTTGCTTTTCATTTAAATAACTTCTCAGTTGTTGTAAAAGTTTGAGTTATATCTAATGGTTGATTAAGTTTATAATTTTAAACTTCATGAACAGAAATTGAGATACAAAAGTAAATTACTGTGAGAAAACTTCTGTTTTTGCTGCGCCTTGGATAATAAAGAGCTCTGTTCTACAAAGTGTGTAGTTTAGCACTTCTGGTAATTGCTTGATTCAGATCAAAACTCCTAATTACAACTCTAGTTCAGGCCACTATCAATAATCATGATGCTGAACAGACACGAGCACAGCAGTTGTGTTGTTGCATCACGCACATGAACTCCACTGCTTGTATGATTTGTTGGCTGTACATTATGTAACCATAATGCAGCAACACTGTTGTGTGATGTTTGTGGGTTTAGAAATCCCTTGAACTGCTCTGAAGCAGGGCTAAACACTCATACAAAAAAGATTACCATAGCACTGAGTAGTTTTAAACTGATGTAGGAAGGGGAATGGAAGGGCAAGAGGAGAGAGAAAAATGTGAGGAGTCCTCTAGCTAGAAGAATCTCCTTAGTCTGTCAGGAGATTGCCAGATATGACTTTAAAAGACAAGGGGAAATGTCAATACTCTAATTATTAAAAAAAACCAAAACAAAACCAAACCAAAAAAACCCAACAAAAACAACCAACAAAAAAACCAAACAAAACCAAACAAATAAACAAACAAACAAAACCACAAAAAACCCAAACAAAAACCACAAAAAAAGCAACTTAAAAAAACAAAATCAAAAATACCATATGATAGATCACCATAAGTTCCAGGTGCTATGTTTTGTGATGCCATAGAGAAACACTACAGATAATGTTTCATGACACTTTTCCTCTTCTATAATCCTGACAAAGTCCAGAAGCTTATTGTAATACTGCTTAGCCTTCTTAATTTACTGGGGCAGTACCTTGTCCTACTAAGTTTTATCTTTTGGCTGAAAGTTTTGGGACACTGTTGCTTTTCACCTAGATTGTCCCTCTTGGGACATACAGCAAAAGAGGTATTTATTATGCCTCATGACAAACTGGCCTGTAGGGTCTCCTCCTCACTTTTACAGTAATGATCAGTGCCTGTGGCTCTCATTGTGACAGATGTACATCTTGAGTTGAAAATCATGTTCTACTGTGTACACAGCTTATGATTAATGGTCTTTGAAGGAGCATGCCCTTCCTATCTCTATCCTGTATCTCTTTGTGGGTCCCCACTCTGCCCATCTTTGAGACCTACATGAATAGATCATAGATAATTTATCACCATGGACTGCATTTTAAATGGGTCCTCCAAAACAGGTCAAAACCAACGAATCAACCACAACAAGAAAGATAGGATGACCTGCAGAGTCATTCCTCATAGCAGTTACTGCAGAGAAAGGTGCATGGCTGGCTCACATTTGCTGTGTTATTCAAAGATTGGATTTTTCCTCAGAGTAATTTCCTTCAGCTGATATCAGAGCTTTAGGAGGTTTCTAGAAAAGAGAAAAAGCCAAGAGGTTTCTAGAAAAGAATCTGTTCCTCATTCCCTCAAAATGAGAGAAAGCTCATTTGATGAAATATTTCCCCTTTTCCAGTCAATGGAAACTTCACCAAACTGTCACAGTTTCTCAAATATGGTGGATAGCCACTTAGAAACTTCATCTTCCAGTTCCCTCAGGACCTACCGATGTTGCTCATCAGGTCCTATCAACTTGTGCACCTTCAGGTTTCTTAGATGTTCTCTGACCTGATCTTCTCCTAGGGTGAGATATTGTCATTCTCCCAGCCTCTGCCTTGCCTTCTGCAGCTGGTGTGGCTGGAGCACTTGGTGATGAAGACTGAGGCAAAAAAAGGGCCCACATTTTTCCCAGTCTTCCTTTTCTTAACAGTGTGCCACTGTACCTTTGTTAGAAAGAGAAGAGGCTTTGCTCCAGTAATTTTGTGTGAATCAAAGAGCTCAAATACAAAAGGGGAATAATTTTAAACAAATAACTGAATGATATATTTTAAAGATAAAATAGTAGTATTACTCAGATTGGAGAAGAATTTTTTAAAGGAGAAGAGAGTTATCTGGAAAATTTCATTAAATTAAAAATATAAATTAAGAACTATTCAAATTAAAGAATTATACTTATCATTTAAGTATATGGAGTTTAAACTGATGTGTTGGTTTCTAGATAATCTTAAAAAAAAGAAAAAAGTTAGGAAACATGAAAAAATATAACCACTATCTGATAAAAATTGAAATTATTTTAAAAATACTATGAAATATTCTCTTTGCAGTCAAAATATGTTTACAGAAGTAAACTGCTCAAGAAAAAAAAATCATACCATCACATACTTTTTTTTTAATTTAATTTTTTCATCTGCTAAAACCTAAAACTGGTAAAACTTCCTCAAGAAGACAAAAGATATTTTGAATGCAAGACAGTACAAGTAATACTACTTGTAGTACTACAAGTAATACTGCTGTGTGAAGGGCATTGATACACATGGAAGTCTGAAAGGTGAACTTAAGCTAGAGAAAAGAATAAAGAAATGTTGGAAAATCTTCAAAATCATTTCCTATTACAGAAAATAATATCATAACTTTGATTCTTCCATTGATTAATCCAAAACCAAAACTCAAAAGGAAATTGAATCCAAAAGCCTGATAAAGGTCTAGGAGGGTCTTAGACCTGGTTTCCTACAAAGTAAGAAGACCTAGATGAGAAACTGTGAGCTGTATTCATCATTAACCATTGGAGGAAGGTGCAAAGATTTATCATGAAAGAACCCTCTGTCTGAAATTGTCAAAGAAAGGTTTCTCTGATACAGAACATGACTCACAACATCGCTATTAACTTGGATGGAACTGAAGTTGTTGTCTATTCAACACTGCTGGTGTGAAATATTCTCAGTTACAGAGTATTATCTAATTTCTCTTACAAAACTAATCTAAGCTATTAGTTTATTAGTTGTGATACTTACAGATAATTTTAGTTGCAGCTTTTGTAAGTACGACGACTCAGTTTAGGATGAAGTGATTAAAAGTGCACTACAGCGGGTTTTTCTTATCCCAGCGAGTTTCATTTTGGTTTCTTTGAAGTAGCCAGAGATGATAACAGTTTGGAAAAATGTATCATGCTTATTCAGCCCAACTGTTATTTTTAGAAGTAATTGAAGTTTCCATGCAGTGAAAAGTTAGCTGAAATAAATATCCTGAGATGAACTAGAGTTTAGAAAAATTTCAGACAGCCTCATATGTTTGCTCCTGGAAGAAACTTACTATTTCTCATGAGCAAAGAAAAAAATGCTAAATAAATGTGTCCTATTTTTTAAAACAACATATTGTTCCCAGGCAACAGAGATTTCTTTCAATTTGCCAGAATTCCTTGACTCACCTTCAGAGAGCTTTCTTCATCCTTCCCCAGACAATATCTCTAAACCTTCCTGCAGTACTCCTTCCACGTAATTGGATTCTACCACAGAGTCCTTGTGTCACTGTAGTAGCACTAAATTCATAATTCAGGTATTTTCTAAAAAATTCCTCACATTTTTATGGGGAATCAAAAGTTAGCAATAATGGATGTAGTTTCTTGCAATTTACGATTTGGAGGTGATTGTCTGTGCAAATTCACACACACTGCCTTTTACCAGTTTTGTATATTATATGTAGTGACAAGAAACTCTTAGAGACCATGATAGGAAAGGTGTGCAAGAAGTCCATAAACATAACAACTGTAAAAATCTTCCAGCAGAGATATAGACAGTGTGGACAAGATGTTTGGTGTACACAAGCAGTTGCCTTTAGGAACTTCAGATCTAGACCAACAGCCTGCTTGTATAATTGTGTGTCATCAGTACTTTGTATCATGTTTTATTTATTTTTTACCTCTTTATAGCCACTAGTTTCACTTCTTTTTCATGAAGCACCTTATTTTCTCTCACCCTGAAAAGATCATAATCTTTCTGCCTCTAATTCCTCTCCAGCATCCAGCCGTCTCCTACCCAAGGCTATCAGTGTTTTACACTGCAAGCTAATGAATAGCTCTGTTGGTGATTGGCTTCAAAGCTGATAGCCTATGCCAAAAGGGATATATGCTTCTCAGTGAAGCCAAGGAATCAGTTGGCAGGGCCTGAGCTTTCCAAATAGCTTAGATTCCCCACTTGCAGCTTTGGAAGTGGCTAAAAGTTGACTAATCTAAACCTTGGATAGCCAGGTGAGAAGTGGTCTTCCCCTTTCTTTGAAGAGAACAGGACAGTGTTCTTATGAGGAAAGGAAGACCATATGAAAGGGAGAGAAAAACTAGACAAGGGAAATACATAAATAATGTAGAGAGACAGAAAAAAATGACAGAAAAAAATCAAAAGAAATATTATAGAGTCATAGAATCATTTAGGTTGGAAAGGAACTTTAAAATCATTGAGTCCTAGTGTCAATCCAACACTGCCAAGTCTACCATTAAACCATGTTCCTAAGCCCCTCATCTATGCATCTTTTAAATCCCTCCAGGGATGGAAACTC